ATCCCTTTTTAGGATAGTTAGGAGTAACTTTATGAGGGAATATCTAAGGAAGGAGTTTATTCAGTTGCACAAAAGATCTGTTGGTGTCAAGAAAGCATTGTATGCTTGAGACTAGGCAAGTTAATACCAATCAAGCACTCAAGTGTAAATTATTTGGAAGAAATCCTCTCTTGGGGACCAGCTGTGCTTCAGAGTAGAGAAATACCAGGGTTGGCATTTGCACCCTAATGGAAAACATTAGAGAAGTGTTTGTGAAATGGAAAATTGCTTTTCTCAGTCGCTGAGGAGATGGCTAAAGAAGTTGCTCATTGCTTTTTGCTGTTCCCCCGCCACCTTTATGATAGGTTGCTCAGACTCTTTCAGCTCTTCGTGTCCAGTTATGTGCATGAAAACAATGTTAACAAAATATTTTGAAAGTCAGCAAGAAAATTATATAATGGGAACTGTGAAAAATGATTTGGACTTGCTATTCATTATGTTAATGCAATTTGATAGGATGGAGATTGCTTCCTGTTCTGTTACAAAACTCTGTGAAAATGCTTATAATTTTTTCTGGCATTTGCATTGTGGTGCCTTGTGGCATTCTTGTAGGCTGTTCTGTGCTTGCCAGTCAGTGGGCTCTTATCTACAGTAATTTTCTTTTCACTAGAACTAGCTCTCTTTTTCTTTTTTGGATTACGCTTTTGGCCAATAGCATGCATTCTTAAAGATCTTTTCAGGTAAGACACTTTACATGTACAAATCCTGTGAAGATGTACACTCTCACTAATATAAAGAGAAGATGTACTTTTTGACTGTTGTCATTGCCCATGGGATAATGCCATCTGGTCACGGTATAGGCTTCATGTAAATTTTCTGTAGGTTAGCCTACAGGTGCCATAAGATAACATTTTTCTTCAGTCCCCACTAAGTGTACTTTGTAGCTCTTGGGATAAGAGACATGAAACCAAAGGAAGGTAAAATGTAACTCACAGAACAGCAGCTCTACACCGCTGTCAGAAGTTCTGTAACGATAGCTTTGCAGACTAGCTGTTTCTTGTACCTACAAGATGGTAATACTAAAATTGTACTCTTTTTGATGTAGGCTGGTAATGATATTTCAGTGCAAGCGTACCAGGTAGGTGAGAGAGATGCATGATTCCTAACATGCATTTTGAGTGCTTGGGAATGACTTTAACTAATTAAAATTGTTTTTCACTGGATATTGGCAGATTACTGAGGGTTTTTTTTAGTTGCTGGTTTTGCAGTTATGAGAATTGGAAGCAAGTTTGGAGAAGACTATCACTTGATATAACTTTCTCTCCTTAATTCTACTACTCTTCTCACTTGTTGTTTAACTTTTGCTACAAAAAGATTTAAAGCCTTGCTTGGTAGAATAGCTTTTACTTTTACCTTGTGGCTTAAATAAAAAGTTTCCCAGTTGATTATTGTTGTCTCTGTTTTCTGAATTAAAACCTTACAGCTTGCGTTCGTTCTTGGGGAGCTACTTGCTCTAACCTCTTAAAGGTCACTAGTTTGTTAGGCAATTATGGTCAACAAAGGTGTTGATGGGAACATGGTCATGGATTTTAATCTGGAGCAGTGTGTCACTGAAGAAAATTTACATGTTGTTTGGTTACAGTATCACTTGAGGTCCTATCTGTGCCTTCAAACTTTGTGTTGTACCAGCTGTTTGGATGTTGTTGATGAAATGTTATGTCCGTGCCCATATCCTTATCCCATTCACCCAAAGTTAACGCTGCTTAGTGCAGCTGATTGAAGAAATGCTGTGGAATTCTAGCCAGCAGTCAGTCTGGTTAGATCCTTTAGCTGTTCATTTCCTTATGCCTTCATAATAAAGTTAGAAGTTATTTAACAAGTTCATTCTGTTTACAAATCTTCAACAAATCAACATGTCTATTTTGCTAAAATACCTAAATACTTTTTATCATTAGAAGGTGAAAAGTGATAATGAAGGTGGATTTTCTGTCAGTCATAGACTTGAGGGATAAACAGTAAGTCTTCAAAGATCACCTTTCCCAATAGAACTAAAAAAAAAAAAAATTTGTGTTGTATGCAGTTATGTAAATAGAAACAACTGTATTTAGAGTTTTAATTTAAGGGACATTATGCTCACTTTTTCAAAGCCATTTTGTGCTACAACTGAAAATGGAAGTGGTGTAGAGAGGAATACAAATGGATTGTAATAGCAAGCTCTACTGTAGCATGGATCCCTTGGTTTTGAGTTCTTATAGACAGCAGTTGAATCGGAGGATGGAGAAGGGGATGAAATCTTCTCTTCCAAAGGCAAGCTGCTGGTGGACCCTTAAGAAGAAATTGCTGCAGTTCTGTAAGGTATTTTTTTTTTCCTTATGTATTGCATAGTTCTGCACTGCTCTTAGAATTCTCTGTGATCATTTTGTTGCATTCTGTGTTCCAGGTGTGCCATTGCTATTCTTTATCTCTTTTTCTCATAGTTCAAAGCTAACGTGTTCTGCTTTTCCTTCTCATGTATTTCTTCCTCTTGGCTCCTTCTGTGCATTCTAAATCTGGCGAGCATGTTTCCTTGTACCCATGCTCTCATTCCATATTTCCTGGTTCTGTATCATAATTTTGCTGACTTTCCATTCTTATTTGTACAAGGAAAAAGGGTAAAAGAACCACTGAATTTTTCTTAAATATACAGTGTACCTGTATTTGTATATTGTAAAAAATTGTAATATCCTTTCATGATGTTTCTAAGTCTTTTCTCAAGGTGGATCACAATACACGTATGGCATAAGTAGACTAAAGCATCTCAAGGCATTTATTTTTAACACTTTGAAAACCAGATCTCTTGCTATCTTTTTTCTTAACTTAAACTGAATTTTGAAATTAATACCTTAAGGAATTAATTAGTAGGTTGGGATATGATTGTGCATAATTTTAATAACATCAACTTTGCCTAGGAGAGGAGTTAGGGGAAGGGAAACTTGAAAATCTGGACTCAATGCTGAGGATCATAGGAAAATTCAGGTTGGGAGAGACCTCAGGAGGTCGCTTAGTTCAATCTCCTGCTTAAAGGAGGATGAGCTGTGAGGACAGGCCAGGTTACTTGGGTCTTTATCTGGTCTGGTCTTGAAAACCTCCGAGGATGGGGGCTGCACAACCTCTCTTGGGCTACATGTTTCATGGCTTGACTGTCCTTATTGTGAAAATACATCCATTTTGAACCTCTCTGCAAGAACCTGTATTTCTGCTGAATTGCTTATACTTTATGTACCCTACATTTCAGTATGATTTTTTTTTGTTTGTTTTGTTCTCGTAGACTGCTGCCATCTGCAGAAACTGCCTGCAGATACGAATGCTGCACTGTAGTACTGTTTTACTTCCTGCTTTTCATCTTCTCTGTTCCAAAATAGATCTGGTGATTTTAACTGATGCTGGACTGTTCTAGCAGAAGTAAAAGCAGGTGGGAAGTGGTATATAGTTAGCTTGTCTTGTAGGCACTGTTTGTGACAAAAGATTTAAGGGGAAAATATATTTCTGGTAACTAAGCCACACCAGAATCACAATAGCTTTATTATTTTTCTTTGTAAACTAATAATTACTTTTCAACACATTTTTCACTGAAATCTCCCAGAATTCACTGAAATCTCCCAAGACATGGTTGATATTGTATACAGAGCTACAGCCTGTGCAATTATACTGAAGATCGGATCTATAGGATTAAAGGAGCTCTGAACTATTTGTCCTTGGATAGGTCATCTTTTCTTGCTCTTGGCTTACACTGTTCCATATAGCTTCTTTGTTTCCTGTGATTCCTTAGATACTGTTACTCCCAAAGGAGAAGTAAACAATCTTTTTCTCATTGGTGTGCATGGGGCATGTCTTCTGGGCAGTCTTTGAAAACAAACATATTAGAAGCAGTTGTGAGCAAAACAAGAAGAAAAGAGCTGGGAAACTAAACAGTTACAAACTCCACTGCAAGCGTAACCCTGAGGATAGGTCTTAAACCAGGAGCCCAACAACACTCACATAAATAGTTCTTTGTAATTCCTCACTGTCTCCTCACAGCTCGCTGACGCAATTAATGTTTTCCTTTCTGATCTGGCCATGGTGCTGAATTGGTGGTGGTAGGAGGTTTCACTGACCTACCAGTGGGTATTTTCAAGCACTGGGTTCCTTCGAGCCCATCTGGGATGCTTTTGAGTTGTTTTACTTCCAGTTTTGAAATGATGCTGTTTGAAGTTGCTTGACTGGAAATAACGTGAACAAAAATGTTAGGAAACCAGGCCTTTCACCTCCGCGTTACTGGTTAAATATTGCTCCAGCGTGGAAGCAAACAGAGGGCTTTCCTATCTCTTGGCTACTGTGGAAGTGATGCAATATATTTGGATTAACACAGTCCTGTTTCCGGTTTAACCAAAAATAAAGTAAAATGTCAGAATGCTGAAAGAAGTGTTACAGTCAGTAACTATTGGCATCTTCACTGGAAATTGGAGAGAAGTCCATGGCATACTAGACTGCAAAAATTTTGGGTTCAGTGGTAATATTGTGGATGAAGATCCATTCTCCTTGTTTGTTTTGGTTTTTGGGGCTTTTGTTTTTTTTTTTCCTTAACAGGTAAATAGAAAAATGAATTAGGGTATCTTTTGCTATGCAGAAAGAAGGCTCCCTGCTCATTGTCATTTTTTTTGTTGCCAAAACACTTTATTCCTTTCCCCAGGTGTTCCATTGCAACTTAGGGTATGATTCTCCTCCCTTCAGCAGTTGGAGACCATCGTTATAATAGTAGGGTACTCTTTAGGGCTTCATATATCCTGACATTCAAATTGCTTGGCATTTTCGCTATCTATATATCAGTCATATAAGTCATATTAACTAACTGCCTCAAACCGTCCAAGATCTACAGCCATAATCAATTCGCTTTGAGTGCATGTGCACTGGTTTACTGTGAGTTAATAATGTACAGGCTGAGCCCTTATGCTTTAAGCTTTCTTTCGTCCGGGCATAGTTGCTTTAGCAGCTGTGGCTCACTTTCTAGGCACAAATGCTCCGTGAGAGTGTATGGACAAACTACTTGAGACTCCTACAGTAAGTGCTGACTCTTCTCTACCTCTCCCCAACATTACTTTCTGTAGCTCTATTTTGTGAATAATCTATTTTACAGTTAGTATGTGATGTGGCGGTTATAAAATATTACAGCTGGACTTTGTAGGATTGCCAAAGCAGTTACTCGTTACTTTAGACATATAATGCAATGGTCCAACCAAGATCCGTAATCTCAAATTGGTTTCTTGCTGTTCTTGAGTAGTCTTCTGTATTTGAATCACTGTTTCTGAGACCAGGTCATGAGCTGCACTTCTCCAGCTTGTGCTCTTACTCTGTAAGCAATGTCCTGCTCAAATAAATCTGGATGTTAGAAAAGTTCCTCTTTAGCCAATTTCTCCCTTTGAGGTCTGCTATGTTCCAGCTGCTCTGTGTATCATAAGGAGCTGTGTTCTGAGAAATTACTGGTTTGAGAAATAACTTGTACTGTACCAGTATTTTTTGCTCCACGTAGGACTGGAATGTTTGTGAACGTAGTGAAAAGCCTACCTGAATGAAGCCAGTATTTGTCCAGCAATCATTCCTTTCTCTGTCAAAACCAAATAGCTTATATGAATCAATGCAAACAAAGAGTAGTGAAAAGAGAGAGAAATGCTTGAAAGCAAAGTGCAACAGTGGCAACAGAATCCAGAAATTCCCTGGGGAGATGGTAGGCATTGCTGCTCCAGGTGAGAACAAGAACTGCAGCCTTTTCCATGGATTGTACTGTGCTAGGAATCGGTCATAGCCCCCCAACCAAATATGTTATCTTTATACAGACGTTATTAAAACAAATATTGTAGGGTCTGGGTTATGATAACGTGTTTTAAAGGTTTAACACTTTATACCTGAGGGTGTCAGTGCACTTTGCAAGTATGAAGCGATTAAATTCAGTAGTAACCAAGGGATCTTCTTTCTGTGTGTTACAGATTGTGAAAAGAGATAAAAAGGTGAAATGATGTCCTAAAGATCACATTAAATCTGGAGAAGCATGTAGGAACAGTATCCCAAATTTCTTTATTACCAGCTTGATGCTTTTACTATGAACTTTCTCTTGATAATGTCCAGCCCTGAGCACCTTACTATCTCACTGACTTGAGGGCACTTTCAGGCAATAAAAATCTTTTGACTCTTTCTTACAAGAGATTGAATTATGTCCCAAGAAGGGAAAGCGTTCTAAAGATCTCCAGTCCACACAAAGCAACTACAAGCAGAGAAAAAGCCACCAACCCTTCCACGTATTTCTGGTGGCTGACTTATGGTCAGCAGCATGATTTAATTGCATCCTTACGGACTGCAACTTTGTTTTTCGTATCTTACATAAACACAACATATGTGTGCAATTTGTATTGTTGCATTTAAACTCCCTCTAGTGGATCGGCTTAAAAATGACCTCTTCTACCAATGCTATCACAGAGCTTAAAAAAGAAAAACGGGTCCAAACTACAAATACCAGCAGCTCTCAGCACAGTTGAGAGAGGACCCAGGACACGCCTCTGAATTTTATTCTAGAAAATATTTGTAACGATTTTTATTTTTCATATATAGCTATAAAAGCCCATGGGAAACAAAGCATTTTGAAACATTATCCCTGGATTTGTTTTTCTTTTTTTTTTGGCTGCTTTTTTTTTTTTATTTGGTGGGTGGCCCTTTCTACCTCATAGCAGAGTGACAGTGAAAGAAGGACCCAAACCTTTAATCTTGTTTTGCAGTGGATTGAGCAGAAAGCAGCTGCAGCAGCCCAGAAATTACCATGGAAAAAATCCTGAAAACAGAATTGAAAACTTCTGTTCTGAAGGCATTTGGAAGCTCGGGAGGAGGATACATTAGCCAAAGCCAAGGTTATGAAACAGACAGTGGACGAGTATTTGTTAAAATCAACCACAAACCTCAGGTTAATGCTAGCAGATAATTTAACTATTAATTATCGTTGCATGTAGACAGCTTTTTCTTTTAAAAGCACCTGATTGTTAATTTAGAGTTCTTCATTTTCAGGCTGACTTTTAATTATTTCCTTTGAGTTTTCCTTGAGTTTTCTTTTAAAAGCTGTAGTATATTTTATAGCAAGTATTAATGCAGCAGCTTTGATTAATGCAAAATGAAATCTAATGCAATGTGATAACCCTCAACAACAGGAATTGGCATTGCAATATGTAAAAAGGAGGCTAAGTACAGAGCTGTTATTGTAGTACTTAGAGTTTGGAAAAGCCTAAAGCTGAATTTGCATTCACTGCATTTGTTTTCATGTTTCAGTTGGGAGGATAGAATAGAGGGAGGGAGGGAGGGAGGGAGGAAACAGGGTGCCAGTGCTAAAACTCATGTATTATTTTTAAAGCTACAGAGGTTTCAAACTTCCCCATTGCCTTTTGTATTTCTAGCAGAAAGATTCTTGCAATGTTTCAGGCCAAGCTCTTGCCTTTTCTATTACTAAATGTATACTCAATTGCTTTTTGTAACACCACAGTGCATCAGAAATTTGCTTTAACAATATCAAAAACATCCTAAAACTGCTGTGAAGAGCAGCATCTTTACTTCAAAAATGCAGAGTACAGGCTTAATATTTGTACTGTCGTCTCCATCTGGTGGTCTGCAGGGAAAGGCAAACCAGTTCAAGGATTCAGTCTTTTACTTCATTTAGTAGTGATCATCTGTGGTTTTGTAGGAGGAGGTCTTGGGTATTATCCTCAGAGATACTGTTATGTCTGAGTAGTTTGGTATCTCCATAAGCAGCTGGAAATCATGGGGAAATGTGATGTATCCTACTACGCTGGAATGAATCTGGGGGAAAAAAAGAAGTTAGAATTAAGGTACTCAAGTCTCCCTGTGTGGACTGAAACCTTGCTGCAGCTACATTCTTTTATCAAGATTAACTCCTTTTAACTTTGTAAACAAGGCTATTTTTTCCAAAGTACTTGTTGCAGACATCCATAGTTTAGCCCAAGGATATTCTTATTCCTTGACAGGCTAGAAAAATGTTTGAAGGGGAAATGGCAAGTTTGGAAGCTATTCAGAAAACCAATATTGTGAGAGTGCCTCAGCCTATTAAAGTAATTGACCTACCTGGAGGAGGAGCAATGTTTGTCATGGAGTACCTAAAGATGAAGCACCTCAACAAGTATGTCTGTACATCTCTTTTTCTTTTTACTATATTTTGGGGCGTATTTTCTTATATCTTACAGTCAGTCAGAAAACTTCATGAGAAGAACCTCTCTGTTCTCTCAAAGATAGAGTTTATATCTGTCAAGATCCGTGTTTGTGTGTGTGTATGTGTACATATTAAAAAAAACAGCAACAACATATCTATATATATGCGTGTGTATACACTCCTTCCCCATATTTTGCTCTTCCCTGACCCTCTACCTGCAATAGAAATGGCGTGCTACCATTAGCCTAGAGCTTTGTATGCTGGTCCACATGTGCTGAGATGCTACTAAAGTGAATGTGATAATGGCTGAGTTTAGCCCATCTTTCCCTCATGAGATTTTTCATCTGAGTTTCTTTTCCCAGCCCATCAGTTTTCTTTAAACTTACAGGCTTCTTATGTCTTTGAAACCTCTGCTTCTCTAAGTATAATCTTCAAGTATGATTGAAGCCAGTCAACAAGTTCAAAGGCACTAGGGTGAGGAAGAACTAAATGGATAGATAACATGAAGTCCCATTTTGTCTGTCAACCAACCTGAACATGGAGTTCAGGAGTCATAGGCTGCTGAACATAGGCTTTCAGGAGTTATCTGCTTCGTTCTGGGCCTCTGTGGGAACAGAGTAATACCTATCGCTCTTCTGGCAGTTGTTTGTCCAACCTATCTATTTTTATTGGGAGCGTAATGGCAATTCCACAGCCTCCCCAAACAGTCCATTTCAATCCATCCCACTGTTCCTAGGAAAGATTTTTCTAATGTCTAACCTCAGTCCTCCTGGTTGCAATTTTAAACCCATTATTTTCTACCCATTTCAGGCATGGAGAAGAAATTAGTTTCCGTCCTTGCGGCTCCTGTTCAGATACCTGTGCAATAGTTTAACAGTTTTTTAGTTGTCTGTCTTCTGCACTAGGCAACCTCAACTCAATCCTTGCCTATGGCTTCTTTTTAGACTTACACTATGCACTATTTCTAGGAGCACTCTACGCTCCTGTTTATACAACCTTGTGTTCTGTTTACCTTTCTTGCAAGAGAATTGACTTGTTCATTTTATTATCTGTTACAAGCCATTTCTTCAGCGTTGTTGTCTAGTCATTTGCTCCCTGCTATGTACTTGTGAAGTTGACTAAGGTTCTATATTTGCCAAAAATATACTTGGTCATATTTGAGATTTTTTTTCCCTGTAATATTCCGTTCACTTGTCTTGTTTCAGTTTCATTTTGTTTTTTGATCCTACAGATATTCTTCAAAGCTTGGAGAGCAGATAGCAGATCTTCATCTTTATAACCAGAAACTTGGAGAGAAATTGAGAAAGGAGGGAAACACAATTGGTAGAGTATTGATATCATGTACTAAACCAAAACCGAAATAATTCATTTGGCTGTGGTACAGTATTGCATTATCATTTTAATGGTAATTAAAGTCAATACTGGGACACTGTTTCATGAGATATGTCCCTCCTGTCCCTATGCCACCCTTCTCAAGTGTACATTATATACACAGGAGCTATAATTACTATTATAATTTTTAAACATATAATTTTAACCTTGACAAAACGAAATTATTTTTGATTCTTCATTTTCTGTATGCTTTGTTGTATAAAATTATGGGGATACTGAAATTTAATAAGAAATAGTGCTAATATTTGATAGAGCTTTCAACATTTCATAAGTCAAATTGAAAATTTGGACTAGTTGTCTTTTTCAGTGTCAGTTAAACCTTTCAGCCTCATGTACCATCAATCTCTTAAAATGTTCTTGACCTTACAGATATCCTCTTTTTTTGTTTCCTGTTGGTTTAGACAACTAACTTATTACAGAATATGGTCCTAGTTAGTAAACACATAATTAAGTTCCCCTTTAAAGGTGATAGGGATTACATTTTTGAACTCAAATACGTAGCAAAATATACAACAATTGCTGCTCCTTGAAGACAACTGTAATTCAGCAGTGTAAGGTCATGATCCAGTTTCTGTTGACTTCAATGAAAACACCTTCCGTTGTTCTTTGGAAAGTGGATTAAGATGTAAATGAAAAAAAAAAAAGCAGCTATACAAAGAATTATTGTTTTAGAGTTGTTAGCATTAAAATCTGAACCACCAGTCTGTATCTGTGTCTTTCCCATGACTTCAGGGATGGACCAGGTTTGGCTCTTAGTGGTGGACATATTATAATCCATTATTTTTGAGTGAACACCAAATTACTGGCAGGTCACAAATAATCTATTAATCAAAAATAACCCATGCTTAATGACAACATGTTCAAGTGTCGGAACAGTAGATTGCGAGTCTGGTATCTGGACTCTGTTCCTGAATGTCTAACTCATTTATCCAAAGAAAAGTCAGTAATTGTGACTAATTGTGCCTCCATTTCCATTCAGTATCTTCAAGCTTAAGAGAGTTCTTTCCATCTTTAGAGAGGGTTGTGACCATGAAATAAGTGTAACTTATTGCTTAGAATTATTTTGTATGCCTATTCTCTGAAATTTAGTTCTGTGTTTGCAAACTTTACTATATAAGTTCCTCAAAACTCCCAATATTTATTTTGTTTCTTAGGTAAAGGAGCAGGTCACTCTGAGTCTCAGTATGTGGATAAGTTTGGATTCCATACAGCCACCTGCTGTGGTTATATACCACAGGTATGTTCCATGCCTGTGAAAGCTAACATGTACTCATATAGTTCTATAAACTCCTGATACAAAAGCTTGTTTCGTTGGCCTTCAGCTTTATGATCACAATTTTGCTTTCACTGTTTCATTCTGACCTGACAGTGAAGGGAATATGATGGCTATTCAATGTGTGTGGCTTGCTACAGTGCGTGTAGCAAGCAGACACAGGGGATCGAATAAAAATTTGAAATTATGTGGTGGTTCTTTAGCTTGGTGATACTTAAAAAAATAAGTATCCCTTCACATACCATGTCTTGGTTTTGTTTTTTCTAAACCCCTACTATATGGATCTCAAGTGGCAAAATCCACTGCTTTTAGAGAGCCTCATCATGTAACACATCACTAAGACATTGGAAAGGGCTCTCGGAGATAACTCAGTTACTTGCTGGCTCTGCACATGGTAGAATTTCATTCTGCTATTTAACTGAATTAACTTTCAGTTAACTCTCAAACTCTTTGCTAAGTACAACTTTTCACCAAATTAGAAATGCATTACCAATAAAAATGAATGAATACTTCTGTGTTTCCAGGAAGATTTTGTAATATAATATGGAACAACTGAAATGTTCTCACCAGAAACTCTCCCTCTAAAATACATCAAGAAAATGTGAATGAATGAAAATAGCCAGAACCTCAACTTATATCTCGTTAAAGACAGCCCCACCCAAGCATGGAAGAGAGCATCACTCCCAAAAGAACAATCAATGAATTGTCTAATAACATTGTGCATAGGTCATACTAACATTGTCTAGGCCATTGTGTCAGCAGCAAACATTTTAACTTGATATCTATGTATTATTATATACTGACTGTGTATATGTTAAAATTGTTTATTACAAACCTCTGTTTCATATTTTCTAGGTGAATGAATGGCAGAGCGATTGGCCTTCCTTCTTCATTCGTCACCGACTCCAAGCTCAATTGGATTTGATTGAAAAAGATTATGGAGACAGAGAAGCCAGAGAACTTTGGTCACAGCTAAAAGTATGAACCATGTCTTAAATCTGTTTTTTAGAATGTTAGAAAATATGTATCAGTGGAATTTTAAAGGTGTTTTATAAGAGATTTACATAGCTTTCAGTGAACAGCAGTAACTGGACTAGCTTCACAGCTGGTCCAACAACACTCTCAGCTGAAAAGAATTCACATTGCTCTTTCAGTTTTTTAATAGAGAGTGAAAATAGACCTGCAATTCATCACTGACATTTATTTCTTAGCATACAGCTAATAATAATAAGATGGTAATCCTGTCTAAGAACTTGATGTTGCAAAATAGGTAAGATTCTGCCACCCAGGCAGATTTTTTTTTTTTTCCCAATTGATCCAGGCTCACAGCTAAGACTGTGGTTCAGGTCACACCCAGTACAGCACTTAGGAAACAGCCAGGAATGTATTCCTCTGCAAGCTCTACATCACAAATTTGTTCCTTAATTGTGGTTAATTGGTACAGATGTTTACTACTGCCCGTTTTGCCACTGAAACCTTTCAATTTACATGAAATTTATTTTATATTTCTTGTGACAGCCAATACTATCCATGTCTAGGAACAATACATTAATACTAGATGTTGATACTAGACTGTGAATTAAATGATTTGCTAAGCTCTGTCAAGAACAATCAAGAACACTTACTACTGGCTCACAGTTCAGGTTTATGCTTCTAGCCATCGACTTCAAAAGCACTCCATGAGGACTGAAAACAGGCAGTATTTAACCAGCTTAGTCTCTATTATACTACAGTACTTTGTTTTATTTAAGGTTTTGTTCAAAACTCTTTAATTGTTGCATGTTTGTTCATGCTCTTTCAGCTAAAGATTCCTGAAATGTTCTGTGACGTAGAAATTGTTCCTGCTCTCCTGCATGGGGACCTGTGGGCAGGAAACGTGGCTGAGGACGACTCTGGGCCAATTATCTTTGACCCTGCTTCCTTCTATGGCCATTCAGAATTTGAACTGGCCATTGCTGGAATGTTTGGTGGGTTTAGCAGCTGTTTTTTCTCCGCCTATCACAGTAAAATACCCAAAGCTCCAGGATTTGAGAAACGAAACAAATTGTATCAGCTCTTTAATTACATAAACCACTGGAACCATTTTGGGACGGGGTACCGGGGTTCTACCCTAAATGTAATGAGAAAACTTCTAAAGTAACCAGATAGGTTTGAGAAATTCTGACCTAATCCCTCAGTAATGAACAGCCCCCCTGCTTATCAGAAGTAACACAAAGTAGGAATTAATGTTGATGATAAAACACCTGACACGTAAAAGGCTTAGTACACTTTTGACCCTCGCTAAATGTTAAGAGTGATTGTGTAATTTTTAACTTACACACTAGCTTACTAGCACAGATTCATACCCTGCTGAAGGAAAAGACTGCACTGTATGTGAAGGCTCCACTAGGTTGGAAAAGTAGTACGAGAGTCAGCCTAACCTTACTCTCTGTGGAGAGTCTCGCTTCTTAGCTGCTGCATTTCCACAGTTGTTTGCATCTTGCCACTTCTGCGGCTGCTCTATCAGCAGTTCATTACTGAGAGCTACTGTTGTGGGATTGTGGTGCTGGAAGTAATAACTAGTTCCTTACCTGTACCCTTTTTTGTTCTGTTTTAGTTTTCTCTCTCTGTTTCCATCCCTTTATATTTCTGTCGTCTTTCCTTTCCCATGTTAAGTGTCCTGATCCAAAATTTAAATCAGATTCTATGAATCTGAAAATGAAAACATTCTCTTTTTGATTTAAAGAGTAGACAAGGCCCTTTGGACTGCACTTGGCAAGCATATATAATTAATAACATTTCTAATATTTATTTTAATTTAATGTAATTTACTTACATGTTTTTGTTTTTTTATCTTCCTATGAGAAATTAAATTTCAGTGGTATTTCTTAAAAGGGATGTCTCTGTAGGTCCTTGGTAATTAACTGTATGGTCAGAAAGCGGGTTGTTACCACACAAGTTTTGTAATAACATACAGTAGTTTTAGTATGATATTTTAGTGTGTTACACTATGACAGTAACATATTTAAATAACTTTGTAAAAAGATAGCAAAAAGTGGGAGGGAGGCTTAGTGTTTTGATGACAAGAAAGCATCTATTGCTGCTGTCTTGGTTGGTGCTTGATGTATTTTCAAATTTATAAAAATAATGTATAGTAGGCAACGCTAGTCTGTTCTGCCACTGCTGGATTATTGAAGGAACAGTGTCAAATTAGATGGCTTTATAATGTTTTTTAATATTCCTAACTGCTTTATTTTTACAGAAAACATAGGCAATGAGAATTTGGGGAGAAAACTGTGCAACAAAGAAATTGGCATGCAATGTGAGCTAGAGTGTATTAACAAATCCGTGGTTTTTTAATGGAAGAAAGTGGTAAAGAAAGTAGATGTAAGTGCAGTCCGACAAACGCTTATGTGAATCAGAAAATTTGAATAAGAATGACTGAACTTATGATTTTAGGCTTCAGATGGTTGTCATGACCAATACCTAAAATGTTATATTCAAAAATGCTCAGATATGTTTACTTTTTTCAGCTTTAAATGGCTGTGTTATAAAGATTTCATAAACTTTAAAGCTAGATGTTGTAATTCATACTATTTAAAAAATGCACTTCATTCTCTGTAAATATAATACAAATAGTTTAAAATTGTTACTTCCTTGGAATTTGGGCTACAATTAGGGGAAGTTGTAATAGTGTGGTTATAACACTTAATAAAATTATAACAGTGGAAAAGTGGAATAATAGAGTTAGAATACAGTTGAAATCGGAGCTGATAGCTAGAAGATCCAGGTCTGAGAAAACAGCAAAGTGCATGTGTACTAGTATTTATTAATGTTAACAAAAATACATGTATTACATTGGAAAGTACATGTGAACTTAAGATTTCTCCTTCTCAAATAAAATACTTGCCTTGCAGAAACTAGGCATTTGGTGTACCTGCATTTTGTGATTGTGGTTTGCGTTAACAAATTTGAGCCTGAAGAGAAGATATTTGGGTACAGATTGAGTTGCTGGATACTGGGAAAGAGAAGTTACCTGTCCTAACGTCCTGACAAGACTTAAGTGTCTCCCTGAATTTCCTTTAAATCAGTGGAGAGAAATGAGCGCCTCTGTAGGTGACTTACCTCACCCTGAGCACCTGTTTTAGTTTGCCAGCTGGTCTGATCCTTCAACTCTATTTTCTATTAAGTAAAAAGATAACCTGAGGTGACTTAGTAAATGTCTACTTCAGACCCCGACTTCACTTTTCTAGCACTGGCGATGCATCAAGAGAGAAATGGAATAGTGCTGTTCTCTGGTGAAATATTCGGTAGCTAGGGGGAAAGCGTGTGTGAGAAGAGTGGATGGAGACGCGGTATGTCTTGGGCTGAAATACGACAAAGTATCTTTCTGAGAAAGCTAACGGCAAAGAATCTGGCATGAGAGATAGCAACTGCTGTGAGGGGGCAGACATTTCTTTGAGTCTGCCCACTTGCTCCCCTTCCCTTTTTTCCTGTAGTTGTAGCTTTCAGCGTTCAAACTTTGTTTCCAGAATTTTACGAGATTTAGGTAGTGAGTTATTATATAACCCGTGTAATTCAATGTTTTGGCGTGGATAGGGTAAGAAATGGAGGCGGCCATGGACAACGGTGTAATCCAGGGGCCTTCTACACGCCTTTTGCAACCAATGCAAAATGACCCGGGAGCCAAGCTCAGGACGGTTCCTGCCGGCGCCAGAGCGCTCCTGCGCTCGGCGGCCTAGCGGAAACGCGGGCCGAGCAGGGCAGAGCCTGCGCCGCGGCCCAGGCGCAGAGGGGCCTTTCCCAGCTCACTGAAGAAACGTAAACTGCGGGCTCCCCGGCCCGGCTGCCCACAGGATCCGAAACGGACGCTGGCACCCAGCTGCCCCCTCAGAAAGGCCCGCGCCGCCCCC